GGAGAATTTAATGATGTCAATAGGATTGTGGTGGAGAAGGTAACAATATAAAGTAACAACTCATCGGGAAGTTGATCAAGAGGTGCGGTGATAGGTTGTGATGTCATTTTTTTGTAAACTTTTGTCACCATCACCATCATCAAATTCATCAAATAATTTTTGGAGACGATTGGCTAGGTCTACAACCTGTGAGTATTTAGATTTATTTATTTTTTACAAATTGTTCGTATTCCATTTCTATCAATGTTTGGTCATGAACTGAAAATTTGGCAAATAGACGTGTTGGTAATAGTTATCAAAAAAGTTATCAGGAGAACAAGAGATGTTTACGGAGGAAAGTCCACCACTGTGGAGAGCCATGATTCTTCTAGAGATGAAACTACTTGAGAATAAGGAAATAAGGGGATTCAGAGTTGATTTATTTGGGTTAATTAAGAGATTACTTAGTGAAGATTTATATCATTGATTATATTTCTTATAATCTATTAATGATGTAATTTTGATGTTTTCATTTCTTGTATTGACAGATATTTAAAGGTCAGGTCAGTACTAACTTTTGAATTATGGACTTTGAGAAGTCAAATGTTTGGGACGTGAAGCCACGCATTGGATTGAACAGGTATTGCTAATAAAGAAACATTTCATTGATTTATTGATTATAACGGTCAAATTGAGTTGAATGAAAGTGAATCAACTGTTGATTGATCGTGGATGGGTAGTTTCGCCACGAAGTGGTGCAACTACCAACCTTTGTAGATTGAATCAGGTTGATTTGCATGCAATATGAATAACTAACATTATCAAGAGTGATTATTCTCCAATTCAATGATCAATATTCAATAATCGGTTTGATTTCAATCAACAGCTTGATCAACAAGCTTTGAATTAATATTCCAGTAATTAACGGCAGTCTATTTTTAAATTTAATCAAAGACCATATATAGTAGCTTGACTTTTATGATCTGGAAACTATCTAGATGTGTTCTATATTGAATAATCTATTTGAAAATGAGAAGAATTAACTCTTCTATTGAGTTTTATTG